CTACTTCACCAAAACGTCATCCCCAAAGTTTCTTTTGGCACTGTTTCCCAAGCTCTCTGAGCAGCTGCCCTGTGGAGCCCAGCCCCAGTGTCAGTGGAGCAGCAGGGTGTGTGCTGGTTCCAAGCATGGCACAGCTCCACCAGCCCGCACAAACCTGCTCTGTGCTGAGGTGACAGCAAACTGCTGGGGCTGCAGGAGGCCTGGATGCAGGTAGAAACCCCCTTGGATAATATCACCTGCCAGCACAATTATTTTAAATTTTTTCCAGTTTTAGGAATTCAGGCTACCTGCAGGCTTTGTTCTCTCTAATGTTCCTGATCTAATAAGTGCTGAGCTCTTTCATATTCAAGAATCCAAGGTAGATATTCTGAAGCCTGCTAGATAATGCATGTTACCTGTGCTGGCCCAACTTCATTGGATTTGTGCTTCACTGTCACATCTCTGAGTTGCAGAGGAAGGTCCTGCTCCTGAGTGTGTAACACCTTCAGTGTGATTTTATTTCTGTGCTTCTGTACCTGTTCTTACCTCGTGACCCTTCTCGTTTCCATCTTTTGAATTGCCTTTTGTCAAGTTTGTCTTATTCAAGCCTTCAGTCTTTCTTTCACTGACTTGTTGAGGTCGAGGGCTGAATAGTCTCAAGTTTTCATGAGCTGAAGGGAGAGGGGAGGTGAGCATATTGCATCTGTCCAGGTCAGGTTTGGTTTGTTAATTCCTTCCCAAAGGCCAGAGTTTTGCCAAGAGTGAATCAGTGAAAACCAGGCTTTTGTGGTGTGCTCTTTGACAGCACCATGCAGACAGCAGAGTTCTTTGGGAGGCTGATCTGTGCCTCTGACTCCCTGCACTGGTTGGACTGTAATTTCTGTCATGGATTAGTGTCCTGTTCCTCTGTCTCAGAGTCATCTCCCCTCAGCGCAGCTCACTGTCAGGTATTGGGTCTGAGTGCATCATGGGTTTTTAATACACTTTCTCTCTTAAGAAGCTAAGAAACCAAGGCTTACAAAAATTGCAAAAAGAAAAAAAAAAGTTTGTAAATCTATGTGTCTGGTTTATGTACAGGTCCGGGAAAAGTATTTGTGCAACTTTCCTAAGAAAGATTGCAATGGAAAGGGGAAGACTGAATAACAAAAAAACCCCACATGCTGAAGTAATTAAACTCAAGAATTGCAAAAAGATTACTGTGTTTCTTGTACGTTCTTTGTGTTCCTGTTTGTGCCAATGTTTCTCAAACCTGTTTACTGATTTCTCCAGAATTAAGACCTTTCATGCTCCTGGGGCGTGGTCTCATGATGCAGCTGCTGCTGGTTCAGGATGAGGAAAGCCTGGTGCCTGTTTCCAGAGCATGGGAGAACAGCACCTGGGACTGGTTTTTCAAAAAGTTTGATGTGAAAGCTCAGAATACCATGTGTGCTGAAAAATACACCAGATTTAGGGCACACCTGCACATATTCACCATAGACCCCAGTAGGAAAGGCCCTGAGCTCCATAAGGTATGGATTAAAATATTCACTGGAGACAGTGAATGGAAATGGAACAGAAGGAAATGGAACAGCCCAGATCCTCCGTAGCATCAGGCTGACCCCAGATCCGGCACCCCTGTGCAGACTGCCCAGGGTAACTGGCACCACAGGCATTACAGTTTCTGTGGGATTTTCCTTGCAGTAAGAAGCTGTTGAGCATTCCCACTGCCAAGGAAAAGGATATTTATACAGAACATGCTGCTCTTCAGGATAGGGACAAGGACACAGCAGTGGAGTTGCCATGTGGAGCTATGGACAGACTGCTGTGACAAGCTGGCTGAATCTGCAGCACAGAGCACCTCCAGCCCAGGCTGTGCCCGAGGGCCATGGCCAGGCCCTGGGTCAGCAGCCCCCTGTGCCATTCTGGGTAGGGGCCCTGCCCCTCTGCAGCCTGAGGTGTCACCAGTTTGTCACTGTGACCGCAGGGCCCCGCTGCAGCAGCAGCTTCCTTCCTTGTCCAGCATCAGTGCCCGTGGCTGCTGCCTGGCTCCTTGGCTTTATCTCTGTGTCTGGGGAGGAAAGATTGCTCTCCCTTATCGTTCACGTGCTGGGGATCCACAGAACACTTCCAGGCGTGGCGGGTGCAGACTGACAGAGTGCCAAGCTCCTCCTGCATGCTCCTTTCAGATCCACTTTTGCACTGTCCTGACCCAGCCCTGCCCACACCGACCGTGGGAACCTTGCCATCAGCTCCTATCTCCTGTGTGCTTGCTAACAGCTTTCCAGAATACAAGAAAAACTGATTTTGCTCTATCCCTTCTGGGCTGTGTGAGACCACCTCATCCATGCATGCTCAGAATGTTTTCCTGCCTCCTAAAACAAGATTCTTTTTTGAAGAGCAGCATCATGGTATCACAGATGCCCAAAGCAGAAACCAGGGGTTGCTGCCACAGTTACCTTAGCTACAGGAGCCTGGTGCTGCATTTTATAAAGGATAAAACTTTTTCCTGCCACTGTTCCCCCCAACCAGCTGGGTAAATCTAAATACATGAAAAAATACCTACACATCTTTTTTAGCCACACAGTTTGTGTTTCAACTTCCTGGTTAGTCCAGATCCTGCTGTTGATACATTCCTGTTGTGTTTTCACCCCAGCCAGAAATCAAGCCCCACACAGCCACTCACTCCCTTCCCACCAGTGGGATTGTGGAGAGAACTGGAAAGGTAAAAGCTGGAAAACACCTGGGTTGAGATAAAGACAGATTAATAGTGAAAAGTGAAAGCTGGCACACAAGGAAGGAAAAACAAAGGATTCATTCACTGCTTCCCAGGGCAGGCAGGTGTTCAGACACCTCCAGGAGAGCAGAGCCCCATCACGTGTAATGGTGGCTTGGGAAGCCAAACACCATCACTCCACGTGCCCCCCTCCTCCTTCCCCCCAGCTTTCAATGCTGTGATGTGGCAGGGTCAGCTGGGGTCACCTGTCCTGCCTGTGTCCTCTCCCCATCTCCCCTGTGTCCCCAGCCCCCTCACCAGTGTGGTCACACAGAAAGCAGAAAAAGCCTTGGCTCTGTGTAAACACTGATCAGCAAAAACAAAAACATCTCTATATTGTCAGCTTCGTGTTCAGCACAAATGCAAACATAACCCCATATTAGCCACTGTGAGGACAATTAATTCTACCCCAGCCAAACCACCCTCTTTGACTCAGTTCAAGACAATGTAGGCTTCTACCCTCCTCCAGCAAGCTCTGTTCCCTGCAAAGGAGTTCCAGTGATTTACCTTAACATGATCTTTTCCTTCCTTGAGCCAAGAAGAGCATGAACACTGCAGCCCATGGCAGCTTTTGCTGCTTCCCCCTGTCCCAGTGGCTGCAGGCTGCTCTGGCATCTCGTGGGAGATTTCTGGTGGAGGAATACAGGGCCACAAGGAAGGATCCCTCTGTGCCACTGCAGAGCCAAACCATGTCTCACTAGCACTACAGGAGTGTCCACACCAGGGTCTGGGATTTGGTTGGCTGCACTGAATTAGTTGAATTTGGGTGTAACAACAGCAAAGGCTCATTTCAGTTCAGCTGACTGCAAGGAAGCAGAAGAGATTCTTTTACTGGAGCAGAAGAAAAATTGAGAGCTGTAGAAAACAGCAAAAGGCACTGAAATCCCTTGAAAGGGATATTCCAGTGGAAAACAGATACTTCTCTTACACAGGGCCAGTGCTCAATTACTGAATTATAGAGATTAACTATAACATTTAATGAATAGTAATATATCATTATAGTAAAGAAACCATGATTTCATGGTCTCAAAGATTTTCTACTGTGACAAGTTCCTCATTTTCTCTCTGAGCATCTCCATGTTCACCTGTTTCCCAAGTAGTCTTGGGATGTAGGGCCCCAGTCAGGGCTTGTAATTGAAAACAATTAACCAATTAAACCAAGCAGCTAAATTGCTCTGTGAGAAGGGAGGATCCATCTGTGAGATGCAGTGGGATTGGTGGCTCAGATGCCTGCAGCTCTTGGGAAATTTTTGACTTCAGATTTGTGTAGCTGAATTTGTCCTCTCTTAAATGTGGTAGAGTGATATAGAGTATTTCAGCTGGAAGAGGCCTACAACAATCATCTGTCTTGCTCTGGTAATGTGAAGATTTAAAGGGTTTCATTTTCCTTAACTTAAAGCATAGTGGTGGGTGTCACAGAAGCTGGTGAGAAAGTGAGTTGTGAGGACCTAGATGGTTCAGCTCCCTATGAGTCCTCTCTCAGACCTGTGTGTGTGTAATTTCATGTTAAACCTTATTTGTTAGCAAGCAACACAAGGAGGAAAAGAGGAAGAAATGGTTGCCTAGGAATCAAAAGAAATAAAGAAAAAAATTTAAAAAAAGAAGGGGTCAGCAGAAAATACAAAAAAACATACATGTAATTTTTGAACTTTCTTCTTCGCACCCTTCCTCAGGGTTTCCGCTCGGCCCACGCCTCTGGTGGTCACTGAGACACTTTTCTGATAAAGAGGAAGGAAAAACCAGCAGCTGTTGTCCCGGATGCTCGGTGGCAGAGAGAGCCCAGGCAGGGAAGTGTTCCTGATTTACCCCAGCCTGGGAAAGGCAGATCAGCCTGGCTGGAGGGGGAGCAGCCCTGCAGGAAGGATGGGAATGGTGCTGCGAGCAGCCGTGCTCCTGAGCTCCCTTCTGCACTGCAATGGTGAGTCTGGGCTGGGCATGGGGCCCTGCCCTGGCTGTGCTGGGCAGGGGCAGCTCTGCTTTGGGATGAGCTCAGATTCAGTCCTTAGAGTGAGAGAAATGTACTGGGATAAAGGCAATGGGCTGCTTTTTTACAGGAAAAAGAGTTTTAGGTTTCTTTACCCAGTGGTTTAAGTTGCTCATGTTTGGCTTAGGCTGAGAGAATGGTGTTTCAGAAATATAAATAGGCAGTGGAGGAGGGAAGTCTGCTGTTCCTCAGAAGGCCCAAGGGGGATGTTGGGGGCAGACACTGGCTGAGACCAGAGAGCTGCAACTTGGACTTTAGACCAACTCCTTCCTCAAGCCTGAGTTATCCAATAACTCTGAGCCTATGCTCCACTCAGGGCTGGTGGTGGCAGGAAAGCACCAGGCAGAGCAGGAGAGCCAGGCTGCCCCCATGGCAGGAGCCCAGCCATCAGCCACCTCCCATCCTCATGGCACACTGATTTTTGGGCAGCCCAACCCTCACACTCCCCACTGCCTGCTGGTGTTTCTCTTTGCCAATGCTCTTGCCATGGCAGCACCACCTGGGAGCTGCCTTCACCCTGCCTGCGCTGTGGCTTCATTTTCATCTTCCTTTCTTCCTGCAGCTTTTCTGGAGCTGAGTGGTCCCAGTGAGATCAAAGGGGTCTGGAAGGACTCTGTCACTCTGCCTTGTGCCTATGTGCCTGTGGAGGACCTCATGCAGCAAACCCTCACCTGGACTGTGGTGCATGACGAGGGTTCAGGTGTCATCATTCGGAGGGATGACTCCGGGGACCAGGTGCTCCTGTCTGAGTACAGGGACAGAGTCAGCATCCCGAAGGATACCCCAGGAAATGTGTCTCTCCTCATCCTGAACCTGGAGATCTCTGACAAAGGAACCTACACTTGCCAGGTCACCTGGAGAGACAACAACAACAGCCTGATAGCAAAGGAGATCACCACCAGCTTGGAGGTTGTTAAAGGTAAATCCAGGAAGGAGGCTGTTCAGGAGGGAAAGGCTTAGCTCAGGAAGGCTTTTGGGAATTACAGCAGGTAGGCAGTGACTGTGTGTTTGCATGAAGAAGCATTTTGCTGATCAGTGTCAGCCTCAAGCAAGAAACAGCAAACAGGTCAGAGAGGAATTCTGCCCAGGACACAGCACCCTGCAGCTCAGGGAGGACCTGCGGCTCCTCAAGGCCCAGCTCAGCCCTGGCTCTATCTGTAGCCGATGGCTCGATGTTTCCCAGTGGCATGAAGCAGTGGGGAAGTCCCAGGGATACTGTATTGCTGTTCTTTCACTAAATTTTACCAGCATGTGCTCGCCCTCCCTCTGCCAGTGTGGGGGGTTTATAGGGGCACAGAGGCTGCACACACCCGTGCGGTGTGGTGGTGTTCACAGGGGTCTGAGGATGAGGGAAGAGACCAGAATGTTGACTCCATGTTTCAGAAGGCTTGATATATGATTTTATTATATATATTATATTAAAACTATACTAGAAGAATAGAAGAAAGGATTTCATCAGAAGGCTAGCTAAGAATAGAAAAAGAATGATAAGAAAGGCTTGTGACTGACTGAGACAGTCCGGACACCTGGACTGTGATAAGCCATTAATTAGAAACAACCACATGAGACCAATCACAGATGCACCTGTTGCATCCCACAGCAGCAGATAATCAATGTTTACATTTTGTTCCTGAGGCTTCTCAGGAGAAAAAATCCTAAGGAAATGATTTTTCAGAAAACATAATGTTATAAATATATATATATTTATTATTATATATAACTATATTACATATAATAATATTATATAATTAGAATGGCTACAGTGTGGCACAGCTGAGTTCATCCTGTGCAGGGAGGTGATGCTAAAGCCGAGCTGAATCCTTCCTCCTGGGAAGCGGGAGCTGCTGCGGCAGGGGGAGCGTGCCCAGCCCAGCCAGGGCTCCGTGACCCGGCCCCCCTGTGCTCTGTGTTGCAGTGGCAGCCACCAAGCCCATCATCAGAGCGGCGGAGCCGGGGCTGACGCTGCCGGCCGGAGGCAGCACCAGCCTGAGCTGCGAGGCCGGCGGCTCCCCTCCCATCAGCTACCGCTGGTTCCGCCGCGGCCCGGCGGGCACGGCCGAGTTCCTGCGCAGCGGGGCCGAGCTGGCCTGGCGCAGCCTGCAGCCCTCGGACAGCGGCACGTACTTCTGCGAGGCGCACAACAGGGCCGGCGCCGGCGCCGTGCAGCGCAGCGATGCCGTGCGCCTGACGGTCACAGGTGAGTGCCGGCCCGGCAAACCCTCTGCCGAGGGGCCGACGAACCGCAGCCTCTGCCCTGCCCTGCCCGGCAAGGAGGAAATGCCAAACGCCTTCAGCGCCCTGACACAGCCCTGCCCGCTGCCTCCAGCCTGTGTCCTGCTGCATTTCCTCTGTTCAGTTTCCTCCTCTTTGAGGAACTGCTCTTTTCTGATGCAAAACGGGATTTCTACTTCAAACACTCATTTATTTATTCCTCTGTGGGTTTTTTGAAGTTCTCCCTGCCTCTGTAATGTTACCCACTGCAGTTCAGCAAGTTTAGACAAGGAGTTGGGGCTTTATTTGGGGAAGCAGGAACAAGGGAGTGGTAATTCAGTGGCAGAACAAACCAAGCTGGCCTTTGCTCCCCACCACCAGCCGCGTGTCCCAGGGGGACACACTGCACTTCATTCCAGGCTCTGACACTTCCAGGCTCTGCAGGACAGTGTGTCACAGGCTGGACTCAATGGCCTCAGAGGCTTTTTTCAGTCTATTCAATTCCATGATGGGTGCCTGGTGGAAATCCTGCAGCTCTCCTTGGCTGGTGACTGGATCAGCCCAGCTGTGAAGCCCCTGATGGCAGAGCCAGGCTCAGGCACCTCCCAGTGGCTGGGAAAGAGGCAGAGCCTGCTGAGCTGCCAGGCACGGAGCTCTGGTGAAGCCCTGGGTGCTTTTCCCGGCAGTGCCACCCTGGAGGGAGCAGCACAGGAACGGGGCTCAGTGCTGCAGCTGCTGCCCCACGCCGCTGGCACAGCATCCCCCTCCTGCCAGCTGGGACGGGGCTGCTTCCTCCTGCTCCCACCCCTGGGGAATTCTGTACCACAGCAGCATCTCCATGGTGGTCAGACCCCTGTGGAAGCCTCTCCTTCTCCTCACCTTGGAGATGTGCTCACAACAACAGCAGCCTCGCATAGGAATGTGAGAACCACGGGGGGACTCCACCCAACCACAGGTCAGGGTGAGAGCAGTGGCAGCGGATGGCAGGGGAGGGGTGTTGGGGCAGTGTGCCACCAGTGCTTGGAAGTGGTTTTGTTGCTGGGGAACAGAGTCTTGGCACTACTGAACTTCAGTCCATATGCCTCAATTTGTAACTCGGGTGTTTCTGAAAGTAGATCTTCCTTCCCTCAGTTTCCAATCCATGGTGGGCTAATACGTTGTCTTTGTAGGAGGGACTGTATGTGTTTTAGCACTGCTGAAAATGCCTTTTCCTAAGCTGCAGATGATATGGGGTGGGATATTCTGGGTTTGGTTCTTTTCTGAAAGGTATTTTTGCTTGTCATCTGATCCTAAATAGAAGCTGCTGAGAGGAGGCAGATCTGGTGTCTCCAGTGGCAGACACAAGGGCTGCAAAAGCTTCCTGAGACCCAACTGAAAACATGTACTTGGCCAGGGACAGCAGTTTGAGGGAGGACTTGTGGTTTCCCATTTGTTTTTGTGGGATTTGGGACTTTTTGCTTGGACTCGAGCAGGTCTGCTTGTTGGATAATGTTTCATTTGCATTTATGGTGCCCCAGCAACCACGTGGGGATTGTGGAAGCTGAGGGAAGATGTTGACAGGTGTTGACTGTTCTTACAGAAAAACCTGAAACAGAGCTGGTGTCTGGAGGTACCTCAGCAATCTCCTGGACTCCATGGGGCCCCACCACTACTGCAGGTGTGTGTCTATGCAGTTTAGTTATACATAAATATGTGTATATGCTATATATAGTATCCATTCCATGACCATATGGTACTACAGGTACTCTATAGTGTAGTGTATACATAGTGCTTATTTCTGCAGTTTGCCTTGTAAAGGGGCTGGAGGCATTCTCTTCTGATCCTACAGCTCAAATTCCAGATCTCCTGGTGCTAAAATGAGCACTGGAAATGCTCTGTCAGACTAACTCATCTTTGTTTTTCAGATCTGCCCATAACAGCAACAACTTCTGAGAGTGGTGTGGGATATCCAGGGAAGAATGAAACAATTCAGGGTAAGAGCAGAACCAAACTGAAAAGAAGATTAAGGGCCCAAATCAGATTCTCTCTAGTCAAAATTAGTATTCTGCCTTTTTAGCTGCAAACTGCATTAACAGCTGTTCTCTAAGGACCCAGAATTTATGATGACTCTTTTAAAGATTCTGGATGTTTTTATGGAAGAATTTTTTTAAATGTTGACATATGGAGTTGTTGCTGTGTTCCTGCGCAGTCAGTCCATTTATATCTTGGACTTTCAAAGCTGAAACAGCAGAAAAACCTCAATGTGTGCCTCAAGCAGACCTACACATCCTCCAGCTTTGCAGCATTGTGAATGGTTTAGATACTTCCCATACAGAACTGAGCAGCATCCTTGAATGGCAAGCTTTATTTCATGACATGCAGTGCAGTTATCCTGCCCAGCTCACATGGTCACCTCAGCATGAGAGGGACACTGTCTGTACGGCTGGGGTCCCTTGGTGAGGGGTACACAGTGCTGGGACACACAGCTCCCACTCACAGCCCCAGCACCAGGGCTCTGTGGGGACACAGCCCCATGTGCTCAGGCAGGGCTGGCCTTGGGGACATGGTAAATGTCATGTCCCTGCAGCTGCTGTCACCCAGGAGGGCTGCCCTGTCTGAAATCCTTCTGTTGTATTGCTTTAGAATTCCAGAGGACTGGCTTGTCCCTGTACATGGTCATCCTGATTGCTGTGGTGTGTGGTGCTGTGGTTTTCCTTATCATCTCTCTTATCACTTGCATTAGAAAGCCCAAAGAAGGTGAGTAGAATGTTCTGGACAACCTAAGTGTTTTACACATGCCCAGCATGGCTTTATCTTTGATGGGTTTTGGGGCCTGGAGCAGAGCTGGCAGCCACCAGCAGCAGGAGATGACACAGATGGTGGGAGACCCAAAGAGGCAGAGAAGTCCTTGCAGCCAGGAGGGTCTTCCAAGCATCAGCTGTGGGACTGGGGCAGCAGCAGCCCTGGTGCTCCTGAGCTGCTCCTGAGCTACACCCTGCATCCCTGCTCTGGCTCAGGGCAGCTCAGTCCCTGCCCTGCAGCCCATCCCAAGGTGTGTGGCTCACTCTGCCACAGAGCCTTGGGATGGTTGTTTCCCACTGCTCCTCACAGATATCCCAGGGCTCAGACTCACCTACCTGGCCAGGTTCACGGTTCCAAATCTTTAAAGTCCCTGGCAGAGGGTTCATCCTGCCCTGCTGCTGGGATGAGCCTTTGGGAGCAGGTGCTGCTCAGCAGTTCCTGTGGTTGGCACCCAGAGGGAAGAGGTCACTGTAAATTCTCCCATTCTATAGGAATTTGTTTCCTCTCTGGTCTTTGGTCACAGGATCCATTCGCTGAATGCTCAGAAACCCCCTTTACCAAATGTTCCTTGGAGCCCCCCCTCGCCAGCTGTGCAAGGAGCACACAGATGTGCTTTGAGTTATGAGATCCCACAGACTTTATTTTCTCCTTTGTTTCACTAATGACCTTCCTATGACTCCATGCTACCAATTAATAATAAAATTGTCAGATATTTATTTTACCATTTTCCTTATTTTTCTTCCCTTTTTTTTTTTAAGGAATCCAGATTAGCCACTTTAAAAACTGTTCTTTATTGACTTCTAATGAATAGGGAAACTGTGGACTTCTAGTTTCTAACCTCAACTTTATCAAAATAACCCAGTTGTGCGATAGCTGGATTGTTTTTGTTTTCTTGGACTGAATCCTGGAAAACTGAGTCATCATCCACCTGACATGATACCCAAGGCTGTTATTTTATTTCTGTCTTGAGAAGTCATTTTCTTAAACAAGAAGTTAAACAAATTCTTTTTTTAAGGAATGTAAATACAAATTATTGACACAAATTCTGATTTTTCTTTTCCAGCTCAAGTCTATGATGTAAAATTGTGAGTATAACCCTTTCTCTGGCACATTGATGAGTCCTGGGGGGAGGTATCAGAGCAGAAACAAAAAGCACTGCTGTTAGCTGTCATAATGAAAACCCCTTTAAGCAGTCTGGGTGAAGAGGTTCGCAGTTAGCTCAACAGCACATTGTAGAATGGCTTGTGGGTTTTCCACAGCCACAAAGAATGTGGGAAGAAAGAACCTTTTGATGGCAATATCAGTATTGTAGAAGAGAGCAAGGGCTGCTCATTGACTCCTAAGTCCAGGGAGGGCTACTGAAGATGATTGCCAAGGCTAAATTCTCTGTGTTTTTCCAAGGCTAAATTTCCAGTGTTTTTCCAAATGCAAAGGAAAGGAACTCCTGTTCTGGAGACCACTGGTTAAATTCTGATTTATCCTGAAACATGCCTGGCTGAATTTGCTGCTTCTAACCATAGATAGGAAGGAAGTTATAGCTATTTCTAAACTCAGGTTTCACATCCTGATCCACTTATAACCTGTGGAAGTTTTACTGAAAAGCCTGATAACACAAGCAGAACCACTTCTCTAGGTATAAAGTGCTGCTAATTTGAGTGTTACAGTGGGCTGTGCCAGCATCCCAGTGCTGGGCCTCCCCAGCAGTGTGTAAGGCAGCAGTTTAAAGAACATTTGAACCCTGAGCAATGGAACAAATGCTGTGGTTACATTTCTCCTCAGAGGCTCTACCTTAATTTAAAAAATATTAGATACCATAAGCCAGACAGTGGATGTGTGCTGTTTTCAGTTCTCAATTTACACTTCCTCCAGTATTTTTTATAAATATTTATTTCTCTTCAGCAATTATGTGATTGTGCAAGAAATGGTGGTAATCCTTTCATTGCTTGCACACCCTTTGCTGCCTCTCCCTGGAAACTTTCTCAGGGTTGGAAGCGATGCTGACTCAATGCCCAAGGTTTTTCTGCCACCAGAAAGCAAAGGACAAAATTCTCTCCTTCAGAATATTGCCATAGTCCAGTGGCCTAAGTTTACACAGGTTTGGGTCAGACTGTAATACTGTCAAAATCCTGATGGTTGGAGATGCTTTGTTTACTCTGGTTGTTATTATTTTTGTTTTTTGATTTCAGCCACAACTCGAGAGCAGCAGCTTCCTCAAGCACAGGTCACTATGAGGAACCCATCTCTGCCACTGAAAACCACTATGTGATGGAGCTTGGGGAAAGCAAAGTCTCTGAAGAAGTAAATAAGGATGTGTCTGGCTGTGTGGCAAACCCCCAGGAATCTGAGTATGAAGTAGGGGACACTTCCTGAGACCCAGCAATGCTCTGCAGATACCAGTCCTGAGGAGCACCTTCACCCAGACAAAATATGTATTTATTTTCCCTTCTGCCCCTGACAAATAGGTTGGACAAGCAGTGGTTGCTCTCCCTTCACAGTCCCCGCAGTGAAAATGCAGGAACTTCAGTTACAGACTGCTGTATAGAATTTCTGATTTTGTTTTCCTTGATTCCCTTTCATACCTGTATCCACTAAAGCCCTTTGAGTGCTGCAGGTCCCAGACTAGGAGCACTGTACTGAGCTTACTGCTATATCTGGCCAAAAGGAGCAGTGTTTCCAGTCTTTGTGTGATGGGAGGAGAGTCAGTGTAACCTCCCCATGGGTGAGCAGGGCAGGATGAGGCTGGCTTGGGAATGGATGGCTCCCCTCCTGCCCGCCTCATGCTGCACAGATTTAATATAACAGATTTTATAGAAACAATGGAAGGCAGATTAAAGCCAAGAGAACCTCAGGAACCTGCCACAGCAGGAGAAGCAGTGCAGGAAGCAGGAATGTCCTTGCTGTCCTTGTGATGCCCTTGATCCCCCTGCAAGCACTGCAGTGAGGTCCAGGCACACTGGCCACAGCTCTGGCTGCTTCTGGCACTGCAACCAGCCCCTTTCTGTCTGAGCTCATCTTCTCTGTTCTCTCTTTAAGTGCATGATGGATTTTTGAAAGGAATTACATACTTTTCCACAAGTTTGGAGTAGGATTGCTTACACATGCCTCACATGTTTTGCTGTGTGCGTTTCTGCACAACTGGCTCATTTTGGAATGCCAGCAAGCCACTCACAGCTCCTCACTAGATACTCAAGAAGTACTTTCCTGCCAGCTTAAAAGGCCTGAAGGGTAAGTTATGAATAATTTCTACTGCCCTGAGTTAATCTGTTATGCAGGGTTATGGAGAAACCTTTTTATAACAAACAGGGCGATTCTGTGTCCCATTAAAGCCATGCAGGCAGGTGTAAAACAGAGGGAGTGACCCAAGGGATGAGCAGAATGTTGGTAACACAGACACAGGATTAATGGGCCCCCAGCTGTGCTGCTCACACTCAGGACAGCTCTGCATCTGCAGGCCTCTGAGCATCAGTTGAAAACTCACCAGAATTCAAAGGGAGTGTGAGGTGCTAAAGGAAAGGTATTCCAGTCAAAAACCTGGACTGTGGTACTGTGAAGTCCATGGAATGTCACTAACTTATGTGTGCATGTTGGCCTCATCTTGGGTTTAGCAGAGCAAGAAAAGTTACTGAGAAATATTGTAAAGAATAATAATTGGTACAAAATCACTTCTGTGCCAACAGTCTCTTAGAAAAAAGACAAGAAACAAATGAGCCAAGAGTGCCCGTGGGGATCAGGGCTGAGAAGGTGAAGAGGCTACAGCTTGTTTACAGCTTCTCTGAAAAGGATGCAGAAATTAATGTTAATTATCTGGTCGCACTTTCAAAGGGCAAGGAAAAGTACTTCTTTGTATGCAACACAGAAATAAATGTGGAACACAGTGCTGCTCACCCAGGGCTGAGAGCCAGAGGTCTAATGGGGAATTGGAGGAATTAATGATTTAGAAGTTCATTAGAATGCACAAACAACCAGGCATGCTTTCCAGGCACTTATCGGTGACCTTATATTTTCCCCTGTGCTGCAAGTTTTATATCTCTTTGTTAACCATGTACTGAAAAATCAAGGGCTGGGGTATCTTGATTTCTGAATGAAAAGGGAATACATGGCAGCTACTGGTGCTGTCATGGAGAAATCTGCCGACATGTACATGCAGCTTATCGCAGATGTGGAGAAAAGAGGTGTGAGTGTGTGTTCTGCTGTGTGAGGTCAGAGGGGTGGGAAGGAAATGTGGCAGGAGCTGGAGCACAGCCCATCCACCTGAGCTCAGCCTGACTGCTGTGGCCACTGGAGGGAGAATGTGGCCACCTGGAATGACCTGCAGAGCTCTTCATCTGAGGGGTCTGATGTGGCCAGAGCTCCAGCCAGAGGAGCAGGGAGCACTGAGGGAAGGCAGAGATGCTGAGATGCAGGGTGTCCCACTGAGGGACAGGGTGCTCAGTCACACTGAGCTCTCACTGCTGGAACCCCATGGGTAAGGGCTGCAAGGAATCCCACAGCTTGCCCCAAAATCACTCCATTCCAGCTGCACTGCAAAGCCACAGGCAATGCAGCCCTCCCAGTGTGGTTAAACAGCAGTGTTATCCTGGCTGGACAGCCAGCAGCAGGAACTGATGCTATTAAATACAGCTGTTGTAAGGCAAGCTCATTAAACTGCAAATAATTCCATGAATTCTGGTCTCCATGTGGTTTGTGTCTGCATGCACTGTGGGACAGCTGGACAAGGTCCAGGTCCTGACTTGGTCTGGGGTGTACCTGGGGTGAAGAGCAGCTGCTGTGCACCCTGGGCAGTGGCAGAGGATGAGCTGAAGTCACAGCAGCTCATCCCTGTGGTGGTGTTCACAGGGGTCCCAGGATGAGGGAAGATATGAGAATCTTGACTCCACGTTTCAGAAGGCTTATTTATTATTTATGATATATATTATATTAAAAGAAAATGATATATTAAAACTACACTAAAAGAATAGAAGAAAGTATTTCATTGAAAGGAAAGAGAAAAGGAAAAGGAAATTGAATGATAATAAAATATTGTGACTGACCAGAGTCCAAGACAGCTGGGCTGTGATTGGCCATTAATTAGAAACAACCACATGAGACCAATCACAGATGCACCTGTTGCAGTCCACAGCAGCAGATAATCATTGTTTACATTTCGTTTCTGAGGCCCCTCAGCTTCTCAGGAGAAAAGATCCTAACCAAAGGATTTTTCGTGCAATGTGTCTGTGACACATCCCAGAGCAGCAGATTTACCAAGCCCAGAGCTCAGGCAGGCTCTGCAGAGCACTGGGAGGAGGAGCTGGGCAGTCTGCAAAAAGCCAGCATCAGCTGGTGCTGAGTGAGCCTGCAGGGAGCAGCAGCAGTGCTGGGTGGTGGCTGCAGGTAAGGGACATCTGTGGTGCCTGGGGGGTGCAGCCCACCTGCAGCACCAGGAAAGAAACCAGAACTCAGAAGGCATCCAACACATGGGGCACTTTGCTGGAATCAGGAGCTGTTTACAAGGATTTGGCCAAGCTAAAAGCAACCCAGAACGAATGTCATTGACCTGGGAATTCCTGGGAAGGGAAGTGAAGTTTTTCAGAGAGAGCACTTGTACATCATGTTTCTTCTGTCACACAAGCTTTAAGGGGAAATGCTAATTTACACCAATTTCTGTTTCTTGAAGTGGAACAAGGACATGTTTTGATGACTGACTCTATGATTATCTGATGTGACAGAACTGTGGTGTGAATGGCTGGGGGAGATCACACAATCAGCTTCTGAGGGACATCCAAAAAGTACTTAGCAAAATACACTGTTGAGTCAGATCTATGAGTTAGCTATGGCTGGACCAAACAAGAAAGTCTCAAGCAAAAATTGATTCTTTTTTGAGTGCACATGGTTGAGAAAGAGTACTTTAAGACCCTTCTTCTAAGTTTATCTACTTTTTGATGATTTGCTCATAGTTGAGTACTGAATTTCATCTCCTTGAACACTAAGGATCTTATTTATCACCTGAAAAATGATAGCAAACTTCTCTGGCCACTGGCAAACTTTGTCAGAAGATGACTGTAAGATGTAGGCTCAACAGAGCTGGTCCCTATGAACAGGGTCTGAGTGACCATGGGGGGACAAGGGGACTTCACTGTGTCACCTGCAGATTGCCCAAGATGAGTAGCAGTAATGGCAGAACAAAGAGTGCCTGAGCGGTGCCACTTGAAGAAAAGACACTGGAGAGAGTGTCCTGTCCTGTGTGTGGGAGGAAGGTGGGTACCTGGGGGACAGGCTGCAGTGCCTCACCTGCAGCACTGCGTGGGAGACAGAGCAAGTTCAGCCCAGAGCAGGACACTGGAATAAAATACTGCATTTTAATAAACTGGGTATCTAGCCAGCATGGCTGAGACATTGAAGGTTTTTCTTCTTGTGTTCAGATACAAAACTCTGAGGAGTCCTTTCAGTAAGGGAGAATGGGCTGATTGTGTGACTCAGGGAGCTGTGTCTGTGTCCAGGGAAAGAAAGATGTCATGTACATCACATTTGGGGAACTACAGTTATTCATCTCTGCTTTAGTTAAATAACCTTTTTTTTTAAATCCTGCATAATTAGAGCCTCAGGAAGTCTTGCATGTCCGGTTCAAAAAATAATCCTATCAGCAGTTTTAGCTTGGGTTTTCAACTTCTTTCAGGGCGTGTTCCCCAAAACCCAACTTCTCTTAAACTGTTCTGTGGAGGAGACTGTTTGTCTGGGACAAGGCTTTACTGCCAGTTATGGATCAGGGTGTGGAAAGATTTGGGTTTTAATCATCTCTATGAAAGTTGACACATTTCCCTCTTTGATTGACACAGCTAGCAACTTTAACAAGTGGTTTTTTGCTTGTTTGCTTGCTTTTAGGCAGGACTCAAACATTGCTAAAATCTTCTCAGGAGCTGCATGGGCAGGTGGATCCAGGCCATGTGCACTGGTACCCTACTGGCAGCTACAGCAAAGATGTCAAGAAGAAAAGTCAGCAAAAATCAAGTTTCAATGTCTTACATAGACAAGAATGGGTGTGGCTGCCCCCATCATCTTCCTCAGCAGGATGGCAGCTGGTGGTGGCTCTCAGAGCCCTGGATGAATTTGTTACACCAGGTCTTGCAGCATTTAACTTTTAACAACATTTAGCTTTTTGCTCCAGACAAGTTTTACAGTGATCAGCAGGGTGGAACCTGGAATCCCAGTCAGCACCCCACGGGTGGGCATGCCTCTGCCTGGGACTGAAATGGGATCCACCCAGCTCTCATTACCCTCCTGACTCTGGGAAAATGAAGATAATCTCCAGCTCTCATTGCCCTAGGAGAGAGGGAATAAGCTGTCACTGCCATGGAGCAGCACTTCCAGACATGGCTTCAGCTGCAAGGTGAATGTTTCAGCCCCAGCAGACAGGCATTTGTTGGGATGGGATAAGGCTGTGGCAAAACCATCCCATTTACCTTCTCTCCCATCTTCAGTAGAAAACAGCTCCCTGTCTCTCAGACACATCTGCCTCCTGCTCAAAGATACTGTTTTGCAGCTGTTAGAACCCTGTGCTAAGGCATGGCTATTGAATAAATCCCAAAAAGCTGCTCTACTGACTATTAACACCCATAACAGAATTCATTATGCCACTAGATTTGCTTTTATACATGTTTCTTATCTTTCTAGAAGTCCTTCTCCTTCTGGTAATAATTAGTAAGCACAGATCAATCCTGTGCACTACACCTAGATAATTCTTGGAAGGACTTTAAAGATACCCTACAGAGCACACTCAGAATGTCCCTTTGCTGCCAGTCAGAAGTCATCTCCTTGTCAAACACAATGTGTGCTTTCAAAACATGATTTTGCCCATGAACTGGACTATTGCAGCAGAAATGTGAGCTGGGAGAGTCTGTGATGCTCAACATGACCTGGCAATGGGCACTTGCAGCTCAGAAAGGCAGCTGGGTCCTGGGTGCATCAAGAGAAGATGATGGGGACAGGGAATGGGACTGGAAAGATCCAAAGAGCCTTTCTCCTTCCTTCACCCTTCACCTAACCCAGCAGTGAAATGGACTCGTGATGTTTCAGAAAGAGGATCCTAGATGAAAAAGAACAGAATAAAGGGAAGTGTTCTTCACTTGCAATCTGGTCCCTGGAGGGTGGGAGTCTCTTGGGGAAAGGAGGACAGACCTGCACTTCTGGGAGAATGGGAGAAGTTGGATGGATAGTGGTGTTTGCGATGACTTTCATCGGCTGCAACGGTGAGTAAATGCTTCAATGTATAAGAAAAAAAAAATCAGAGTACTAAGAGGATGGCAAAAATCTTTTGAATTATATCATTTTTTTAAATTGACAAGTCAGTTGGGAAGTCTTAGCTTATTGTATTAACCACAGAGCCTGAGAATTCATTAGAGTCTCCTTTGGCATCAGATACAATGAGGTGCTTTCAAGAGTGGAGCAAATGGGGTGGTATTGGGCAAGTCATCTTCCCTGCCCCAAGGCAAGAGCAGAAAACAGCTTTTTGGGACCCTTGGCAGGGATCACTCTGGTGTCCAGCTCTCAAAACAGTCTTGGTGAAGCTGGAATATGCATTCTAAATTTAATAACTCATCCTCATTGTTCTGTTAGCATGGCCCTGGGAAGAAGAGGAGCTGTGAGAGCAGGTGCTGGCACATTTGATTCCCCTTGGTCTTTCCTACCTAGTGACTCTCTGGTTGCATCAGGAAAGCTGGGAGTGGGACCTTGGCTTCAGTTCCTACTCCCCTGACTGAATATACCCTTTCTCAAGGCATGTTTGACACTGGCAGCAGCAGAGGATAGTTTTGGGAAATAGGAGAAAAGTGTTCTTACACATTGTATACAAAAGCATAGGATTGCTCCTGACATTTAAAAAATTGGGTTGAAATGTATTACCCATTTCTTCATAAAAAACCCAGCTTTGCAAATTACTGAGATCTGCCTCTCAACCAACTTCTTGTGAGCTAAAGCTGCTGGATATAACCAATGGCTTTCTGGGGAGGGGAAAGGGGAGAAGAATAAGAGGTACTGGGAGAGATGAGCCAAGTCAAAGGAAATTCAGGTGATTTGTTACTTACAAGAGGCACGTCCCAGAGGAGATGTGGGATCCATGGGCAGGCAGCCTGAGAAACTGGGAGAATGTGTGGAGAAAATCTGCCCACTCTTCTCCTGTGCCTACCTGAACACTTGGCAGGTGCTGATCTGGGTCAGGTCTGAAATTTTCCAAGGCTAAAGCAAAAGGATAGATTTTGGTCCACCATTCCTATTCCAGATTCAGTACTGCAGGGAATACCCCTAAATGTTCCTGCCCACAAGGAGACTGTCTGTACCGAGAAAGAATTAAGAATTGGCAAGTGCCCAGAGAGAAACTCAATAAAAATAGCCATGAGGTCAAGGCAGATGTTCACTTCCCCATGTCTGATGACGTGGGCTGGCTTGGTGCTGTGGTGTGCAGCACATCTGAGACCTGGCCAGGTGCTGGCACCGGTGAGTCCTGTCTCTCTGGAGGACATTTCCCTGCTCTGCTGCATTCTCATTTCTTCCCTTCCACTGCTGTTCCTTGCAGCCTTCCTGGATCTGTCTACTGTCCACCAGGTCACGGGCACTTGGATGGCATCCACCACTCTCCCATGTACCTATGTGCCTACAGAAGATTTCACCCAGCAATCGCTTAGCTGGAGCGTGGATCACGGCTCTGGCACCTCCACCATCTTCCACAGGGACGGCACTGGTGACCACATCCTGCTCTCCAAATTCCGAGGCCGAGTCAGCGTCCCAAAGCACAACCCAGGGGACGCCTCACTCCTCATTCAGAACCTTGAAATGCCCGACAGTGGACACTACACTTGTCAAATCGTCTGGAGGTCCAGAGATAACAACTTGATAACAAAAGAGGTGACCACTATAGTTAAAGTTGTCAAAGGTAAATCCAGCAGTAAAGTCTTGCTCTTGTGCAGCCAGGTTAAACCAAAAGAAGGTGGGGGTACCAGTGTTGGTGTGAATAGTCTTTCACAGCACACTAGGTTGGGGGTTGAAGGATGTGCCTCCCTTGCTGTGCTGGTTATCCTTTCCAACACATGGAGCTGTAGGAATGTACTGGGGAAGTGAGCCAGTTAGTGTACAGCCCAAGCTGGATCTGTTGATGGGCCAGTTGAACCCATGATGTTTGAGATAATATCCAGGTCTGGTTCTGTGCAGGCAGCCAATATCTCTGTGGTTCTTGTAGCAAGTGGGTGTTGTGTGAGCCAAGTCTGCCTTCTCTCCTCCCGAGAATCCTCAATGTGTGCTAGAAAAATCTCTTTCTGCAAGGGGCCACCCACCCCAGAGAGCAGGACCTTGTGAAAGGGCGGCAGCAATGATAGCAGAGCTGATGCAACCTGGATTAACACAGGTTACCTGAGCTCATCCTGGGCAGGGTGGTGATGTGAGAGCTGAGCTGCTCGTTCGTGGGAAGACACCGCCAGCAGGAGCGAGATCTGCTGCGGCAGGGGGAGCGTGCCCAGCCCAG